AACACTGCCTGCCCACCACTGACCTGCAGATCCTCGGTGCCTGGAACCACCAACTGACTTCTCCAGGGCACCTGCCTGGGTTTATACTGTCTGATCTGGTGGGTTGGGCCTTCAGCATCTTTAAAATTGGCTCCAGGATGGGGAAGAAGAACCTGGGGATTTCACAATGTCTACAGCAAGTATGGGTAATGAGAAGGTGGGGGTATTAATGAATGTTTGTTTGCAGAAGCCCAGCGCTGGGCCCCTGCTCATAGCTACTGTCATTGACACTGTTATTGGTGGTTTGGGCCACTAGATAAACAATGCTGGGGTCAGATGTCCTCACATTGCCTTCCCTTTGGTACCCATGGGCTCCATTCCAGGCTTAAAGGTGGCAGAGGCAAGAGGAGTGAATCCAAGGGGCCTAAGGGAAGAATGACCTCTGATGGCTGGATAGCTATCCACTCACAAGGTGCAGAAAACTTAGGTGTAGTGTTCTCTGGGGACCAATGCCTTATTGTACTTCTTCATCTCAGGACATTTGCAAAGTTCCATGCAGGGCTTGGGGAGAAGTGGGAGAGGTCAGTCTAATACCCAGATACCTGCAGAATGAGACAGATACCTGCAGAATGAGACATAAGAGAAGATGGCAGGAACAGGAACAGATTTCTGTTTTCTAAGGCCAGCAGTCATTCTTGACCCACTCTCTCAATCTCTTGCCCCTCTGTGTAAAGGGCCAAAGCATGGGGTATGATTCCAGGCAATCAGTGAATTCACACTGCTATCTGACAGACATTCATTACATGGTCCCTGTTAAGTAACTTTATAGTCCAGCTGGGGAGCTAAGTCATAAACACTTGAAAAGACAATTAAGAAGACCAGACTCCAATCTGTGGGCCAAGGGCATATTGTGTTGGAGACAATACAAATAAACAGTTTCCTTGAGTGAGAAACCAAATTTATATAATTTTAAGGGTCTTAGACATGACATAATGGGTGCTACAGCATCCCTGAGTAATAAGCTAAGCAGGTTTTACTTCAATACCTCCAGGGCCAGAGACGTCACAACCTCTTGGAGAAACCCTAACAGTGTGTGTGGTCCTTATGGTTAAAATTTTCAAGTCACACAGGCAAAACAGCTCTATCCATTCACTGGTCCTGCTTGTGTGTTCTCCTACTGACAGGTCTTGGAGTGCTTGAGGAGGTCTCTTCCTGTACAGCTTCTTCAGGATATGAGCCCTCAGCACCTCTGCTGCTTCCCTGAGACATGGTCTGGGACCCTCTCTGCTCTTCAGGACACACTATTGTCCTCAGTGATGACAACTGGCACAGACTACATATGTCATGGGTATATACCGCTGTAAACACTGGCCAAGGCTGGGGGCTTGTGCTGAGATGGAAGAAATCTAAAACCATGAGACCTGTTTCATTTGAATGTCATGATGCCAGGGCCTCTATGCCAGGTTCATATACTTAGTATTTTACATTCTTTCCTTTTCAATCAACATGTCAGCTTGTAACCAAAACCAAGGTTTGGCTATTTGGTGCCACAAAAGCCAAAGTCGTGAGACAGATGCTGGTGTAAAAGGAAAGAGGTTTATTCAAGTGCTTGTCACCTGAGAAGATGGGGGACTCTTGTCCATAGCCCATCCCAACTTCTCAGGGCAGGCAGCATTTGTATAAGGAGGGAGAGGGAAAGGAGAACAAAGAGATCAAGGAGATGGTGTTGAAAAGTCCTCTACATGCAGATCAGTACAGTCCATTCCAATAAGGATCTTGGTCAAGTGATGGTCTGGTGTGCATCATCCTGGTTTCGCATCATCCTGGTTTTGCATCATCCTGGTTTCACGTCATCCTGGTTTTACAGTTGAAGGTCAGGGATAACTGAAGATTGGAGTCTGTATCTTCTAAAGTTAGTTACTAGGATTCTTATACAAACATGCTGTTTATCTACAAGCAACATACTAGAGTCAGCATTTACAGAAAGAATGTCAAAAGAATGGTGGGGTGGTTGCAATTCCCCTGCTACATGCTCATCCCTGCTAAATCCCTTTTGAGTTTTATCATCCTACAAATGGTGAAGAGCCACTTCAGGCTGGAGAAGCTTCAGGAATGAAGGAATTTCAGCTGCTCCCTGAGGGTGGAGCAGCTGAAATTTAGATGGAGGAGGAAAGAGAATGTTCCAGAGTAAGAAATGGCTTCCACATCCCACTCACTGGATTCCAATTGCCAAAGATTATGCAAGGTACTTGGAAACAAGCTGATGCAACCTTGGCTTTGAGGTCAAATTAGGGACCAGAGACCCCAAGTCAGCTTACTACAATGAGGGGGAGGTCACATAGAGGTACACGTAAGACAATGTCAGAGCAGATGACCAGGGATCTCAATTCAGCAAAAGCTCCTCAGAAGAGGTGACAGTTAGGGACCATGGCTGGGCCTGTGGGCACAGAGTGTGAACTGGATCTACAGAAATAGCCTGGTGCCTGGAGCCATGTTCTCAGCACTGAGGCCTGGGAGGCTGTGGCTGAAGGTCTAGGAGGCAGACCCTCTGGTCTGGTCACCCCTTGTTAGTCCTCAGTGAAACCATGCTGGTCGAACAGGTGAGGAGCAGGTGCAACACCTGGCTCAGATTTGAACCCCTCCCTGGCCTCTGCTCTCATCCCCAGGGTTTAGGTGGGAACACTGGGGTCACAGTCCTGGCACACATGGCTGGAGGTACAAAGGTAGTCAAGGAAGAACTAAAACTTGCAGAAACAGAATATTTGGCAAATTTAATATGATCAACTTTTAAATAGAACGTTTAAGGAAGTAAAGGGGCCAACATTCACTTTGAGAAGGAAAATGAAAATATTGGAGAAAATCGCAATCACAGTAAAATAAATGCATTTACTTCTCTTCCCTGTGTATTGGTCATCTATTGCTGCCTGACAAGTGACCCCCAAAACTTAGTCACTTAAAGCACCAGGTATTTATCTTCTTGCATGGTCTTGGAGGAGGGGGTGCCTACAGAAGCTTGGCTGTGTCACTATCCTCCCAGGTTGCAGTCAGCAGCGTCATGGCTGCCTGACCAGGGCTGGAGGGGCCATTTCCATGCTCCACGTAGCTCTTGGCAAGAGGCTTCATTTTTCACCACTCGGGTCTCTATTGGCTGCTTACAACACGCAGCTGCTTCCCCAGCTCAAGGGAACAAGGAAATGAGAGAGACCAACGTAGAAGCGGTGGGAGTTTCAGAAGTGGCACCACGTGCCTTCTGCCATATTCTACTGGTCACAGAGAGGGCTGGTGCAATGTGGGAGGGGACGCAGTGTGTGGACCCCAGGAGACTGGACCGTTCATTCTCCAGGGCTGCTGTGACCAATTACCACAGACTTGGTGGCTTAAAACACCAGGGAAGCGCTCTCTCTCAGCTGGGGAGACTGGCAAGACAATGCCTCTTCCTGGTGGGTGCCTCGGCCATGGCGCTCCTGCCTTATTGTAGCTCAACTCCAGTCTCTGCCTCAGTCTCCACACGGCCTTCTTCCCTGGGCCTCCTGTTCTTACCAGGACAGCAGGCATGGCCTCAACCAATTGCACCTGCAAAGGCCCTATCTCCAAATAAGGGCACAGTCTGAGGTTCCCAGAAGGACACGAATTTAGAGGGACATACTCAACCAGCACTGGAGACCCTGGGAGGCTGAATCCCACACCCTGAAATCTCAGGGACCGTGGCCACTCCCGGTCAAAGTGCAGGGTGTTCTCTCTGTTGGTTCCCTCCCCAGGAGACTCCAGCCACAGGCACCCACCAGGCCCTCCTTCCCAGCCTGCTGAGATCTGACTCTCGCTGCTGCCAACCAAAGCAGCAGAAGGCAACCACCCGATCTCACTCCCGGGAAGTGGGAGCCGAGGACAACTAGAAATGATGTCTGCTCTGCTCACCTCGAAATTAATTCTTCTGATCATGACACAGGTAATCCATCTTCAGTGTAGAACAATTAGGATATACAAATAAATAAAAAGAACAACAACAAGAAAGTCACCTTAATACCAGCAGCCTGACATTGCTAAAATTGAAGTAAACTCTTGAAGACTTTCCTATATTTTTAATTAAATATGTATTTTTAATTAAAATGGAATTATAATATATGCCACTGTGTAACTTGCTCTTCTCGCTTAATGTGTCGCAAGCATGTCCATGTGAAACCAAAGCAGCAGAAGGCAACCACCCGATCTCACTCCCGGGAAGTGGGAGCCGAGGACAACTAGAAATGATGTCTGCTCTGCTCACCTCGAAATTAATTCTTCTGATCATGACACAGGTAATCCATCTTCAGTGTAGAACAATTAGGATATACAAATAAATAAAAAGAACAACAACAAGAAAGTCACCTTAATACCAGCAGCCTGACATTGCTAAAATTGAAGTAAACTCTTGAAGACATTTTCCCTATATTTTTAATTAAATATGTATTTTTAATTAAAATGGAATTATAAGATATGCCACTGTGTAACTTGCTCTTCTTGCTTAATGTGTTGCGAGCATCTCCATGTGAATAGACACCAGCATCTTGGATTTTAATTGTACCTTAGGTTTCAAAAGGAATGACTGCCTGCCCATCCTTGGTCTTCTGAGCTAGAGCCATGCCCTTGGGCACCACCACCTACTGTGCCCATGGTGAGAGCATGATGGTGGGGATGGAAAAGGCACATATGATGGCAGCTGAATTAAGGGAAGGGGAAGGAACTGGGCCTTGGGTCCCTAACCTTTGACCCTGCACACGGGTGGTGATGGGACCCCATGTGGGCAGCTGGTGGTCCTAATAGGCTCAAGTTGGGACGGGGCTGGCCTGTGGGTTCAGGGGCACTGGGCAAGGTACCATGAAGCATGAGGATTCCCACCACTCCCCTTTTTTACCTTGTGTTATTTTTGCAAGGTTCCACACCAGGAGCGCCACCCAGCAGGGAAAGAAACTGAACTAAGAGCCAAATCTAGAAGGATTTACCCAAACTAGGAACTAGGAGAAGGGAGAGTGGCCATGTGCCGAGTCAGTCAAGTGGGGGCCTGAGAACAGAGGAGCATGGTCGCCTGGGCCTCCTCCTCCTCCACTCACCCCTGCGGGCTCTGCCCCAGGGTCCTGGGAGGTGGGTTGCCCTAGTCACTTTGCTGGAAGTAGAAGTCCATGATGGGGTGGTCCCAGCTGGCATCCCCCGGGAGCTGGCTGAGCCTGAGAGGCTGGTCCGCTTCGGGCACCGTGCAGAGGAACCAGCCCGGGAAGGCAGCCGACTCGAACCTGGAGGTGAGTCCCGTGTCCCTCCTGAAGAAGGTGAAACCCCTGGAATCCTTGGGGCTGCGGTAGAGCTCCATAATGTCCACTGGCTGCAGGCAGAGGGCACGGCAGGCGAGGGGTGTGAGTAGAGCAGCCAGGAGGGCTGGGACGAGGGCTTGGGACACAGGGCAATAACAGAACCCCATGGGAGAGGCACTCAGGAGCCCGGCCCCAGGGGTCCAGCATTGGCTGCTCAGTGGAGCCCACAGGACTCACCTCTAGTTTCAGAGTCGGTTCCTGCCCCGTCCCACACGACAGGCACTGGCTCCCTCCCTGGACGCCCAGGATGACTGGAGAAAGGCTGTCGTCCAGAAACCGATTGGGGACAACACTGATCTCCTCGCCTAGAGGAAGGAAGCCAGATGCAGAGGCCTTGCCTACCTTCCCTCCCACTTCCCCTCCCCCGTCGTGGACTTTGGGGAGCAGGTCTCTGTGAGGTGTGCTGCCCCCAGGCTCAGAAGCTGTCCTGTGGGGAAAGGTGCTCGCCTGCCAGCTGGCCCGAAGACATCAAGGCACACAGCACATTGTACCACCTCCCACCCCCGCGCCCACCCTCTTGCCCACGATCAAATCCTCAAGCTTCCACCAGCCCTCACAGGACATCTGACCTCCCCCTTTAATGCCCTTCCACACTCAGCCTCTCCTCAGTGACTTGGACATCTTTCTACCCCCAGTGAGATTCCCAAGAACAGGAGAGGGTCTCAGTCCTCTGTGCCATTCCTCCCACATGCACACACATGTGCACACAAGCACTCAGATTTACATGTGCGTGCACACACACAGCCTCGCAGAGAGTCTGCCTGGTCCCAGGCCCAGGGAGTGTGTCCCAGGCGGGCAGGTGAGGGCTGTTGCAGAGAGAAGGGCCTGCCACTCGCAGTGTGTGGCACAGAATGAGTAAGCACCAGGCCAGGGGTGCCACCAGCTCTCAGGGTCCTGCCACTCTGAGTGACCAGGGGTCCCCTGGCACAGAGGGGACCCAGGGCAAAGGGACAGAAACCCACCCCCTACGGGAATGAAGGCCCAGGGAGCCCGCCTGGTCCTCCCAGCACTGGCTCCCAGGGAAAGGATTTGTGGCCTAAGTCCAGCTGTGAGGGCAGGACAAAGCATTCATCTTGGAAAACAGTCCCACCTTTGCACAGTAGTGCCCGGTGGCACTGGGGCACATGTCTGGCGTTGCAGGGAGGTGGCACTCTTTTTGTCCTTGGGGGCAGCCAGGCTTCAGGACGCCCTGGCTACTGTGTAAGGCCTGGATCTTGCAAGGCCGTTCTAAGCCCTCCCAGCCCCTCCCCTCAGAGCTGAGCCCTAGGGAAGAAGGGTCTGTGGCCACCCACCTTTCACGGCCTTCCCTCCATGCACCCCACCGGCCAGCAGCTGGTTACCCTGCAGATAAAGCACCTTCAATGCCGCATCCTTCATTCTGGAACATCAGGACAATGACACTCAGTCAGGGAAGGGGGGTTTCCAGCTTGCCCATCTCCAGAGTCCCAGCTCTGCTGGGCCAGGCCCATCCCTCCAGGAAAAGGCTGGACAGCAGGCACCTGCGTGTCCCCCAGGACACGGCCAACCCCGAGGCTCAGATACTCACCGGAAGCACAGGGCCCCGCTCAGAACCATCCTGCCCTTCAGCGTGCAGAGCGGACGTCCTGTCGTGAAATAACTGGTGTTAGGAGGAGACAGGCTGAGCTGGTAGGGGCCTGGGGAGCAGGCAGCCTCCGACCCCCAGCATGTGAGCAGCCCCCACAGAGCAGGGGATCCTGGTCTGGGGTCAGGAGAGAACCCCAGTCCTGATGGGAGGATGGACTGAGCTCCCGGGGACACCTGAGAGCACTCCCTTCTCCCGAGGAGCCACTGTGTCTGCCTGCTCCTGTGGGGACCAGGGCAGCACGGATGCCTGGCCTTTAATAACATGCCAGGGAGGGGCCTGAAACTTCCCCAGACAGGACGAGCAGGGTTCCCCACATGGCTTCACACCCCCCTCTCTCTCCCAGGGAAGGAAAGTTCTGGAGACCGTCTTCCTCCCAGCAATTCTGAACATTTCCGGGGTTTCTGGCTCCCCCTGAACACTGGGTTCCTGGACCTCAGGCCCTTCCAGACCCAAAGGTGTCAGTGCAGAAGCAGCTCAGGGAAAGTAGACTAACAACCCCCGCTCCCTCCCTCTCTCCTTACTTCCTCCCTTCCTCTTTTCTTACCTCCCTCCCTCCCTTCCTCCTTTCTTACCTCCCTCCTTCCCTCCCTCCCTCCCTCCCTTTCTCCCTTCCTTCCCTCCTCCCCTCAATCCCCCAGGCCTGTGGAAGGTGCTGGAGGTAGAGCTCTCCTGCTTAGATGTTTAAGTCTGCATATTCATTGTAGAAAAACTTGAAAATCCAGGTCAACAAAGAAGAAAAACATGTGCCTTGTCTTGGCTACCAGAGGACGACCAGAAACCCCATGCGCACAGCTTTTCCCCTGCACACGGGGAGCTGCACATGGGGAGCTGCCCACGGCCTTCACACGCCTGTATCACAGGCCCTACCCTCCTTTCAACCTGCTGCTCATGTAGCAAAACCCCAGAGTACCTTGCCATACCCAACGCAAATAATGATGTCATCGCATTCAACAACTGTTTAGTACTTCATTGTATAGATGCAGCATCACGTACTTATAGTAATCAATCATTATTAGTCCTTTGTATTGTTGTTATTGTCATTTGCTATTGGAAATCATGTTGTGACAAACATATTTGTATCAGCTTCTTGGCTCATTTGTCTGACGATTTCCTTAGGAAATAAAATCTATCCCATGCTCTCTGTGATTGATCTTTCTTCAGTCCCTAACCGGTAAAATAATATGTGATTGTGTAATGATTCAGGCAGTGTTCACTCATCCATACACACTCTGTGATCGATCTGAATGAAAGGTAAGGGTCCAAGCGTAATAATAAACAGTTTAATTATGTCTTGAGTACCAGTGGTAATCATTGACTGTTAAGGCATAATTTTTTTTAACTGTGTTCAGGCTTATGGGCTAAATGATCCTTAAAGTACAGTATCCAAGGATAAATAAAACATGATGTTGTTCAAAAGTTAGAAAATAATCTTCTATCATTCATGTAGGACCCCTAATGTGATAAACCCCTTTCAGAAAAATAAAAGGTGTAGAGGTAACCTTATTACAAAATTATTAAACTGACCAAACCAAAATGACGCTGAAATAGTGCAAAAAGTAATAAGACCAGAAGGAAATTCTGGAAGGCTTTGGTCTATAGGCAAAGTGACTTGAAGCAAACAGGCTTTTGTTTGCAAAGTGACTATAGAGAAGTGGACATTATTTCACCTAAAAAGGTAAAATGCCATCTGCCCAGGCTGCCTGCTCTGAGCCCGGGCCCCAGTGAATGGCACCGTGTGCCCAGGACATGCCATGGCTTCACTCTCTTCCCGCCTCCTGCCTAGAAAGGAATGACGCCAGTGCTGGCCTCGCCTGCAGAGGGGCTCCCCAAAGGCGCTGCAGGGTCTCTGTCTGTGCTGTCTACCCTGCAACGCGACTCCATGGAGACAAATACAATGAATGGGTGAGCTAAGAAGGTGGAGGTGAGGCAGATAAAACAAACCCCCTGTTAAGATCAGATTCCAGATTCTGTGACGTTAGATTTGAACTAAGAGAAGATTGACCATTTGCACATTATTGTTGCCTGATAGAAAGATAGCCCCAAAGGGTGCAGTTTTACTGCCTTGCAATTTAAGCAGCTTGTGTGTTTTTTAACTTAAGTTAGCTAAACTATTCTCTCCCTCTGTTCCTGACTTCTCTTTTTAAAAAAAAAAAATATGTTTTTGTTGATTTCAGTGAGAAAGGGAGAGGGAGAGGGAGAAACATCAACAATGAGAGAGAATCATTGATTGGCCGCCTCCTACACACCCCACACTGGGGATCAAGCCTGCAACCTGGGTACATGCCCTGGCTGGGAATAGAGCCATGACCTCCAGGTTCATAGGTTAACGCTCAACCACTGAGCCACGCTGGCCAGGCCTGACTTATCTTTTAAATCGGCTTTACCATCCTTCATTTATTAATCATGATAAATCTTTGACACGTGCTCACTATGTGCTTGTATGGGCATCACGTTTTAGACTTTGTGAAAATTAAACTGGCACTACCTATGACAATGTTGTTTTGCCCCAAATTCACACACCCTGCGTGGTGGTTTTAAAATGTGTCCACACATTCTGGGATACTCTACCTTCAAGAGGTGGAGCTTGAGTCCCTTCCCCTGAGCGTAGGGAACTTGGCGACTTGCTTCTGAAGAACATGCTGTGATAGAGGCCAGATCATAAAGGCACTGCAGCCCCCTGCTTGCTCTTTCTGGGATCACAAAATCAGGCTCTTGTTACCTCATCCTTTGGCCACCTGTGCAGGACCCCCAGACCACGAAGGCCTTTGCTCCCACCTCAGAGCCTTTGCACTGGCTGTTTCCTCTGCCTGGAAAGCTCTTCTCCAAGATACACACAGGTCTCACCTCTTCGCCTTCTTAAAGTCTTGTCTGAAATGTCACCTTCTCAGTGAGACCGACTTGCCTTCCCATGCCTCTAATTATTCACCAGCTCCCAGCCTGGCTGTGCTGGAAGTAAGCTCACAGATGGGGGCCTTGGGGGGTGAGGGTCCAGTCTGTTTCATTCAAGCGTGGAAGGTAGTGCCTGGTGTGCAGTCTGTCTTCAATAAATAATGTTGCATTGACCTGAACGAACTATACACTATCACATGGACAAGGCCAGAAAACTGTCAACATTTTGTTCACAATTATGATTTTATTTCTCAGACAGCTTTGATGCTTTTGGGTCCTCACCCTCTTAATGTAGAATTAAGACCATAGGTGGACACACTGTGGCTTGTAGGCTAAGACAGGGCCCACTGTTTTATAAATGAAGTTTCATTGGAACACAGCTAACACAACTGAGCTCATTTGCTTACATAGTCTATGGCTGCATCGGTGCGACAATGGCTGGGTTGATGTTTGTGACAGAAACTGCATCATTGGCAAAGCCTAAGGTAGTTAGTACACAGCTCTTTAAAGAAAAAGTTTGCTGAATGCTGGTCAAGACTATCCTGGTTCAAGTCCTGAGTCTGTCACTTTATTAGCATGTGTCTTGGGTCAAGTTATTTAGCCTTTCTGTGTTTTGCAGTTGTTTGTAAAATGGAGACAGAATAGTACTTCCTCAGGAGTTGTTGTTGAGATTAAGTGAGTTGCCCTGGCCAGTTTGTCTGAGTGGTTGGAGCCTTGGCCCACGTACTAAAGGGTCATGGGTTCAATTCTGGTCAAGGGCACATGCCTGGGTCGCAGGTTCAATCCCTGGCCCTGGTGGGGGCATGTGCGGGAGGCAACCAGTTAATGTGTCTCTCTCACATCGATCTTTCTCTCGCTCTGACTTTCCCCCCTCCATTCCACTCTCTCAAAAAAAAAAAAATCAAGGGAAAAACTATCCTCAGGTGACGATTAACAATAAAAAAAAAGATTAAGTGGGTTGTGTGAAGTGTGTAGAGCAGTGCCTGGCACATAGTAGGGGTTTAAATGTCAGCTAGATCATCACCGTTGTCACCATCAGCTGCGTGGCCTTGGGAAGCGTGCTTCATCTCTCTGATTTGATGATTTCTCTTGCCTTGTTTTTGTTTCTCCCTAAAGAGGACAGTACTGTCCCACTCACTGGGCTGTCGTGAGGCCAGGATGAGTCAGAGGCAGTAAAAGGCAGGGTCAACACTTAGCACAAACCCACAGTCACCTGCTCCCTGCACCCCATGTGTCCCCTCCTCGTGCACTCCTCCCAGGTGTGTCAAGAGGACACTGAGAACGTGGCAGAGACCAGGTTCACATTGACCTAAATCTGAGGTGCAGAAGCAGCTCAGGGAAAGTAGACTAACAACCCCCGCTCCCTCCCTCTCTCCTTACTTCCTCCCTTCCTCTTTTCTTACCTCCCTCCCTCCCTTCCTCCTTTCTTACCTCCCTCCTTCCCTCCCTCCCTCCCTCCCTTTCTCCCTTCCTTCCCTCCTCCCCTCAATCCCCCAGGCCTGTGGAAGGTGCTGGAGGTAGAGCTCTCCTGCTTAGATGTTTAAGTCTGCATATTCATTGTAGAAAAACTTGAAAATCCAGGTCAACAAAGAAGAAAAACATGTGCCTTGTCTTGGCTACCAGAGGACGACCAGAAACCCCATGCGCACAGCTTTTCCCCTGCACACGGGGAGCTGCACATGGGGAGCTGCCCACGGCCTTCACACGCCTGTATCACAGGCCCTACCCTCCTTTCAACCTGCTGCTCATGTAGCAAAACCCCAGAGTACCTTGCCATACCCAACGCAAATAATGATGTCATCGCATTCAACAACTGTTTAGTACTTCATTGTATAGATGCAGCATCACGTACTTATAGTAATCAATCATTATTAGTCCTTTGTATTGTTGTTATTGTCATTTGCTATTGGAAATCATGTTGTGACAAACATATTTGTATCAGCTTCTTGGCTCATTTGTCTGACGATTTCCTTAGGAAATAAAATCTATCCCATGCTCTCTGTGATTGATCTTTCTTCAGTCCCTAACCGGTAAAATAATATGTGATTGTGTAATGATTCAGGCAGTGTTCACTCATCCATACACACTCTGTGATCGATCTGAATGAAAGGTAAGGGTCCAAGCGTAATAATAAACAGTTTAATTATGTCT